TTGTTGTTTTGCAAACGTTTGTTGTTGTTTTGCAAACGTTTGTTGTTTTTGACTCTTAAAATCTGGCGCTCTTTGACTTCAGGACTAACATCTGACACTTCCTGTTCAGAAACTTCAGATCCAGAGTCTGGAGGTGAAAGAAGAGAAGAGCTCCTCGGCCCAGTCCACTCCATCCAACACCCCCCACAGCTCTCCCAAACAACAGCGCAGGTACCCGCCCCGAGCCCGTCAGAACCCAGGGTCCGCTTTGACCCAGCTGCTCTGTGTTGATGTAAATACAGGACCAAGATCAGTCCGGTCCAGCTGCTCGCTCTGTTTGTTTTCAGGGGCTGGTTCAGCAGCATGGGGTCAGAGGTCAGCATCGGCTCTAACAGCAGCATGGACGCCGGGGGCGGAGACTCTGCTGTGGGTGGCTCTGTGGAACGGTGGGGCGTGTTTGGACCTCGGCTGCCTGTCCAGAGTCAAAGCTCGGACCTGGGATCAGACGGTTCGGCTGCAGGTAACGTCTTTCATCAGTTTCAGTCCAAAGAATGTTTAAATATATATGTGGGGGGGTGGTGGTGCAGAGGTTACAAGATGGGCCTGTGACCGGAAAGTCGCAGGTTCCACTCCCGGTACCGTCAACATCAAAATGTGGGTGGAAAAGGTAAAACCCACACCTGCCTCCACCCTCATTGGACCCACTCTGGGCCCCTGAGCAAGGCCCTCAACCCCCACCATCTGCTCTCTAAACAGGTCTCTCTTGAAAATGAGTTCTCGTGACTCAGTGAGTCGACCTGGATAAATAAAGATCAATGAAAAGAAAAAACATTTATTCAACATAAAATGGACAAAGCGTAGTGGGTGGGCATCACGGGGTCGGCCCTCAAATGGTTTAGGTGCTACTGCTCCGACGGAACCTTTTGTGTCAACGGCAAGGATTTTATTTCAACATCAGCATCTCTTCGGTGGAGGGTACCGCAGGGCTCCATTCTCAGACCTCTTCTCTTCTCTTTATACCTGCTGCCACTAGGTGCTATTTTTTTGTAAACACACTGTATCCCTTTTCATTTTTACATCGATGACTGTCACATTTACTTCTCTCTGAAGCACAGTGGTGCACGTTCCATCCAACCTCTGCTTGACTGCCCGGCTGACGTCAGGGACTGGATGGCTTTAAATTTCTTAAACTTTATTGAGAAGAAGACAGAAGTCATGTTGTTTCCACCTAATGGCGCAATCAGGAACCACTGTATCGACCTTTCCTCTCTAGCCCCGTTAGAGAAACAAGTTGTCACTAATCTGGGAGTAAAAATGGACCCTTCTATGAAACTAAACAATCATGTAAACATGATGGTTAAATCCTGTTTTTATTTTCAGTTGAGACGACTCATTAAAGTGAAGCCCATAGTGTCCAAAAGTAACCTTGAGACAGTAATACATGCTTTCATAACATCCAGGCTTGATTACTGCAATGAGCTTCTGTTTGGACTCAGTCAGATCTCCACTGCACGTTTACAGCTGGTTCAACATGATGCAGCCTGATTTTTAACTGGTACAGGCAAAAGTGAGCACATTACACCAGTTCTGGCTCCCAGTTCACTTCCAAATTCATTTTGAAATCTTCTGTATGTTTTTAAATCTCTGAACAGTCCTGCCCCTTCTTAACTCTCTGATCTGCTGCAGCCATATCTCCCACAGCGCTCTGCAGACCAGATGATTTTATTGGTTCCAGGAACTGGTTTTAAGCTCAGAGGTGACAGAACCTTCTCTGTTGCAGGTCCAAGTCTGTGGAATGAGTTACCACTGCGTGTCAGGCAGGCCCCTCCCTCACTGTTTTTATTAAGTCTTGTTTAAAACTTTTGTTCCCTGGTTTTTGACACTGTGTGAGCTGATTGTTACTTATCTGTATTCTGTAATGTTAGTCATTTAGTTCTTATCTTTACCTCTGTGGATCTATGCATTTTATCTTGTGTCCTGTGCTTGTTTTGTTTTTTCTGTGCAGCACTTTGGTCGGTCATGTTGCTGTTTTAAGTGCTTTATAAATAAAGTGGTGTGGTAAAATGATGAGTTCAAACATCTGCTCTCCTCTGTGCCACTGATCCGTCCCAACGTTCAGATCCAGGATTTGGGTTAAAGAGGAAACTTGAGTGTAAACACAGGCCTGTTTGACCAACCTGCTCCCTCATTGGTTTAAAGTTTCTCCTTCAATACGATCAGATTTTCAGCTTCAGAGAAACTACGTTTAGATTTTTACTCACGGGATGGACCGCTCTGATCCACAGACTTCTTAAACCTTTTTCCAACGATGACTTTCGGTAAGAAAGGACTTCCTCAATATTTAGATCCTCCTGTGAGAATAGTCTTTTCTGTGGAACTTTTTAACAAACTAAATAATTACTTAGTTGTTTTTAACATGGAGGGAACAGCAAAGTTTTGGTCAACTTTCTAAAATTGACCAATAATTGTTGTTTAATCAACCAGATGAGGTTCAATCCATGAAAGCTGCCCGTGTGTTTAAAGCTTCATGTTTTCTGTCATTTCACCAGTTTTCAGTTTGTTTTAAACAAAATACACAAAGAGCAGCTCGATCAGAAATGATGAGCTTTGGTTTTGTGTAGCAGAACATTAAACTGATCTAAACTAATAGCCAACCACGTGGTCATATACACGCGGTCATATACACGCAATCATATACACACTTCGCATTGGGAGACTTTCTTCTTTTTACAAATTCATAAATAAAACATCTTCAGGAAAATCAAGAACGCGAGCCTTGCCTGATGACTTTTTATTTTGTTCTCTGTCTAGCTTCACGTAGTCACGTGTTGTGAGGACAGCTTACCCACACTAACGTTAGCTTGCTAACTTGAGAGGCACATAGCTAATGAAAAGCGGAGGATTGAAGATGGTTTATTATTGTGGATTTTTTTATTTTATTTTATAGATCAGTTGAAATAAACTTGCCATTTTCTGTTCGGAAAAATACCCAACACATTATTGCTCCCTGCTTCAGCTGAGCTGAAAGTGAAACTTAAGTGAATGGCCATGACTTGAAAGTAGTCTCCATGCGCCCTCTGCTGGATACATTGTACAGTTACGGCTGAGTCCAGCATTTTAGGAATGAAAATTAGAAGTGTTTATATCGACCAAAATTATCGTCTCTACCGGTGAATCGGTCGGGCTCTAAAATAAACATCTTAGTTGTCGTTGTCACACTGACCGTGTTACATCCACACAGTGAAGGTATGACCTGTTCCAGTCCAAACCAGGCTTTTTATCTGTCGGTGCTTTTATTTAAAGAGTTCTGTCCATGGAACAGAATGTGAACCCGTACGTTTCTGTTCCAGCAGGTTTCGCCCTGCAGGCGTACCGTGGAGCCCAGAAGCCGACCCCCATGGAGGTGATGAAGTCTCAGGCCACTCGGCTGGCTGACAACCCCGAGAAGGTGTCCCCCCCCAAAATGGAGATCCCCACCATGGACGGCCGGCGTCAGGGCGCGCGCCCACACAAGCTCAAACACCGAGACATGAACGTCCTGACGCCGTCCGGTTTCTGAAAACACGGCTGGCGCCGGCCGCTGTAGGTCCCGTCACATGAACACCTGGCACCGTTTGTTCAGCTTCTGAACATCTGGAGTTTGTTGCAGCTTGAAGCTTAATTTAACGAGAAAACCCAAACGACCACTTCCTGCTTTAGCTCTGAGTTATCATTCCTGCACCTCTTGCTAATAAACTCTCAGATTTACATGTGTGGCCCAAAAAAGTTCACAGTTCTGATCAAACGTTTAATCTGCCGCCCGCCACAGTCGGGATGTCGGTTGGACCAGAGGATTTCAGCTCGACCCGTAAACACAGTGGGTTAAACTTGGTGATGATGGAGAAACTAAAATGCAATTGTTTGTTCCTCAGAGTTCTGTGTAACCCAACAGGATTATTTTAGAGAATCTGGATTATCTAATCTGTTAATTTTGTTTACATCTCCTGTTATCAGGTGAGCTTTTGTTTTTGGTCCAGTTGAACTTTGTCGTGTTCCGTTAATGGACCACAAAACTAAACATGTTGACCTCTGACCTTTCTTCTGCCTGTATGTTTTCAGAACTTGGTCACGTTGGTCAATTTACTATCTTTTTTTTTTAATTCTTTTTATTCTTGTCTTCTGCCACAGCTGGCTACTTACTGCCTCTTCGTTTTATGGGACCTCTTATCGCAGCTGAAAACGTGAAACTTTCCACCTTTTCCCTCTAAACAAACGTTGGTGTAGAACGAGCAGAACTTTTCCATTCGTGCTGCTTTCACGTGTCGGTTGTGGCTTTTCTGTCGAACGTCTTGACGTTTATCTGTCACCTCCTGAATGTTGCATCAAGCTTCAACATTTAAATGAGTTCAGCCTGAACTGGAGGCTGAAGTCCGTTTTCTTTATCTGCTGCTGCAGAGTGTTGGGCCCAGTTTAATGGATCTTTGTAAATGCACTTTACGCTCACCAACGGTTCCCGGAGCATTCACACGTTCACGGAGCGTTAACGCTCGGCGGCCTGAAACACTAAAACTAGAAGCTGGAGACGGGTTCAGCTCGCTGCCGACTCCAGCTGTCCATTGAGAGCTCGTCTTTGTTCTGATCTCGCAGCAGGTTTTCACCACAGCTGGTGGTGAACATGAACTGGAGTGACTGGAGCTCAGGCTCGTTAGGACTCGGTCTGGTTTGACGTCGTCTGATGCTGACAGCCAGGAGTAAACTCTGCCTCAGTTCTCATGAGCATGTTGTTCTCGCTCAGTTTTTGTAGTTTGAACAACGACGAGCACTGAACAGAACTCCAAACCTTCTAGTTTTGGTTTTGTTGGCACGTGAACATAAAGTGTGAGGAGTTTCTCCTCCAGTTGTGTTTCTGTACGGTTTGTTTGTTTGTTTGTTTGTTTTCCCACTCCTGTTGCAAAGACCATATTCCATGTTGGGATCAGGAGACGAGGAAACGTTTTGTGTGAGCACTGGTTGTAGATGTTAGAGAAGGTCGCGTTTGTTTTCTGAGCATGGAAATGATTCCAACAGAAGAACGAGCCTTTCCTCAGATAATTCGTCGACATTCACTGATCTGTTTATTTTTGTGACTTGTGCAGTTTATTAACCGGTTCGTCACTTGAGTGAAACTTGACCAACACAATTCTTTATTTAAATGTTGATTTAATCGTTTTGTTTTCGATCTTGGGCGTCCTTCAGTCGCATCAACCCTTTTCGTTGCACTCGATGCGGATGACACCTGATTTTATTTACAAGGTGACGTGTGCACAGCTTCATGTGCACAGCTTCTCAGATTGAAATGAAATGCACCTCCTGGCTCATGGTTACTAATGTGCACATTTATTTAGAAGTGGACCCATCTATTTCCTGGTCATTTAAAGCTGTATCACACAATCGCGGCATGGTTTCTGTTTTTTCAAGTGTAAATTAGACGTTTGCCACCTGTACCTGCTGTGGTGTTAGTTACATGTGTGGTCAGTCTCCATCAAAAATGAAACGTTTGTCACCAGACATGGAGTTTCATGTCTGGAAATTGTGGAAATTGTTGTTACATGTTTGTTTGTTGGACCAATCCTTGTATTCAGAGTAACTCTTCCCTGACTGTTTTTTTGACTGTTCATCATGAAGCAAGCTTTTTTTAAAATATAGTTTCTGTACAGTTTACTGCCAACAAAGGTTGACAATAAATGTTCTCATTAGAGGAAAAGAAAGTTTGTTTTTGGTCATTTTTTTGTTTAAAAATGTTGTTAAAACAAGTTGTTATTGCACCTCGTGTGAAGAAGTGGTACACTTCACGGTTAACTACTCATTTTCTCACAGATGTCGTGTTTTGTCTCGTCCTCGGAGAGACTGTTTTCAGTGACCGTCTGGTTTTATCCATGAATAAAATCAGGTGGATTTTCATCGTTTTGTTAGTGTTGCCATGCAGAGAACTGGGACTTTGTACAATTTCTTTGTTTCAGAAGAAAAAAAGATATCCAACATGTCTGATGGCTACAAGAAGGAAAAACTAACTGTAAGCCAGAAATATTTTATAAAGTCACTTCCTCTGTGTCTCAATTAAAGTTATTGGAAAACAACAGATTGGAGCTTGTCTGCAGTAATGAGGATGTTGCTCCAGTCTGATTTGGTAAAGAAAGCTGAGTCAAAAGCCCGTATCATTGGGTTGCACCTGTTAAACTGCAAACAGCTTTAACAAGAAAGTTTCAAAATGCTTCAGAACATTTTGGGAGCGTTCTCGGTTCAAGGAATTTAGTAAAACCTGACAAGGTTGAGTCAAGTCCTCTGGACGGGTTCTACAGGTCCAGAGGACTTGACTCAACCTTGTTAGATTTCTCTACCTGGATTATTGAGCATCAGGAAATTGTGGAGAGATTTGCACGATAAAACTGAGTCTTCAAACAGTCGAGAGTTGTCTCGATCCAAACTCAAAATCTTTCATTCAGGTTTTGACAATATGTATGAAAATTCCTAATTTTACCACCAGACTTTCTGCAAACATCATTCAGTGGGAGTTTCGGTTTAAGCTTTGTAGATTGGGAGGATCAAACTGTTACAAAGGGACCAAAATGTAAAACTTTCATCAAACCCGGGGCTAATTTCAGGCGACACTTTAACTCCAACTTTAACTCTGGTTCTTCAACAACAGTTTCTTCGGTCTCATTTGACATCCTCTTGCTTTTTCTGCAGCAAAATAAAAAATTATGGAAAATTTCAAACATATTTTTTTTTGTATCCTGATGCATGCTCAATAATCCAGGTAGAAAAATCTATAAAAGTTAAATCTGGTCCTCTGGACATTCAAAAAAACAAAACAAAGCAAAACAACGTTTTACGTTTGTACATTTTTTGTTGTTTTGCTTTGTTTTGTTTTTTGAATGTCCAGAGGACCAGATTGAACTTTTTTAGATATTTTTCTTTGCTTGGCCAGATGGCATGAAGTGTCTGCACAACTTAACATATTCTCAGAAGTAAAATGAGAAGCAATAAAAAGATTTTACATGTAAAGTCTCGTCTTGGGGCTACATAAGATGTTAGGCCTTCAGTTGGACATGGAGATTATCGTGTTATTTTGTGTCTCCACCAGTCACAACCCAGTGAGATACCACCTAAAACTCAAACTGGCCCATCAACCTTCAACTATGGTCCTAAGTATTAATTATGAAAAACAAAATTCAGGCTACAAGAGATAAAGTTGACTTTCCTGTGGCGAGTTCAGCAGCTGCCTTCGGTTTGGTGAGGTCTTCCATCAGCTGAGGTCTTACGTTCATTTATGATGTCTCTTGGAGACTTTCCTCCAGAAACCCTGAGGCCGATCCAGAACTCTGGAGGGAGTAAAGATACTCTCCGGCCTGGGAACGCCTCGGAATTAAAACTAAAAATGTGTCAAATGTTTTCCTCGGTCTTTAATGGCTTTAGACTGAAAGGCAACGGTTATCATTCAAACACAGGATCCATCTTTGACTCCAGCCTCGAACAACAAAAATAATGAGTTCAAGAAATTAGTGACAGGAAAGAAGGGAAGAGATGAAAGTTTGTTGTTGTTGTTTTGTGGGGGTATATCTGGTTTAACTGACATAATTTGTTTTATTTCTCTCTGCTGATCCAGAGCCCGGTTCTTGTCCAAATCTGCCAAGACACTGTCAATCATTCCTCCCACTTTCAGATACTTCCTCCTCCTCTTCCTCCTGTGTTTCCTCCTCTTTTACTGATTTCTCCGTGCATTCGGAAGAAGAGCTCCATCTCTTTCTGCAGATGGGTGTTTCTGCGGTCGGCGTCTGCTTTGGCTCTCTCCATGTTTCGAATCTTGATCTCGGCGACGCTCTGGCTCCGCCTGTGCTGCTCCAGACTGAGCCGTAAAACCGCGACCTGCCTCTCGAGAACGTCGTTGCATCGCTCCAACCTGTAGCCCGCAGAGAGTTTCACATGTCTGAAGTATAAATAAGACTTATCATGGGAGGCTGATATGTCAGGGCTAACTTGCATAAGATGTTCAAAGAATTCAGCTCAACAAACATAAAAGTTCAACACCAAGAGACAGGTCTACAACAGACAAGAGACAGGTCTACAACAGACAA